CCTCAGCCTCAGACTGCCTCAGCCTCAGCCTGCCTCAGCCTCAGCCTCAGCCTGCCTCAGCATTCAAAATGTGGCCCGGGAATGGAATTCTTGGAACTCGAAGAACACGAAGTGGCCTACAGTTGGCTCCGGGCATTCAAAATCATACCCAGGAATGGAATTCTGGGAACTCGAAGAGCACGAAATGGCCTACAGTTGGCTCCGGGCATCCAAAATGTGGCCCGGGAATGGAGTTCTGGTCCTCGTCCTCGTCCTCCTCCTGCTCGTCTTCTTTCTCCTGCTCCTCCTCCTCCTCCTCCTCCTCCTCCTCCTCCTCCTCCTCTTTCTCCTGCTCCTCCTCCTCCTCCTCCTCCTCCTCTTCCTCTTGCTCGTCCTCGTTCTCGTCGTCCTCGTCTTGCTCGTCCTCCTCCTCCTGGTGCTCTCTCCTCCTCCTCCTCCTCCTCCTCCTCCTCCTCCTGGTGGTCCTCGTTCTCCTCCTCCTGGTGCTCTCCCCCCCCCTCCTCCTCGTCCTCCTCCTCCTCCTCCTCCTCGTCCTCCTCCTCCTCCTCTTCCTCCTCCTCCTCCTCCTCCTCCTCCTCCTCCTCCTCCTGGTAGTCCTCCCCCTCCCCTCCTCCTCCTCCTCCTCTTCCTGGTCGCCCTCGTTCTCGTCCTCCTCGTCTTGCTCGTCCTCCTCCTCCTGGTGTTCTCTCCTCCTCCTCCTCCTCCTCCTCCTCCTCCTCCTCCTCCTCCTCCTCCTCCTCCTCCTCCTCCTCCTCCTCCTCCTCCTCCTCCTCCTCCTCCTCCTCCTGGTAGTCCTCCCCCTCCCCTCCTCCTCCTCCTCCTCCTCCTCCTGGCGAAACGAGTAGAAGGAGGAGGAGAGGCGTACGAGTACTACTACGACTAAACGGGAAGTAGTAGCAGTAAAAGTAGTACTGATGGTAGTAGTGGTAACAGTGAAGTAGTAGTTGTATTTGGCGGGAGTGAACGAGTGAAGTGTAGTTGAAGTGGGTGTGGTGGTAACAGCGAAGTGAAGTATAGTTGTAGTGGGTGGATGGCAGTAGTGGTAACAGTGAAGTGTAGTTGCAGTGGGTGTAGTGGTAACAGTCAAATACGGCGGATGCCTTGGAGAAGGAATCAGGGGGTCGGCCGTGGGTATGGCCGCCGCTGGCTATTCAAAATGTGGCCCGGGAATGGAGTTCTGGGAACTCGAAGAGCACGAAATGGCCTACAGTTGGCTCCGGGCATCCAAAATGTGGCCCGGGAATGGAGTTTCGGGAAATGGAAGAGCACGAAGTGGCTTACAGTTGGCTCCGGGTATCCAAAATGTGGCCCGGGAATGGAGTTCTGGGAAATGGAAGAGCACGAAGTGGCCTACAGTTGGCTCCGGGCATCCAGAATGTGGCCCGGGAATGGCGTTCTGGGATGTCGAAGAGCACGAAGTGGCCTACAGTTGCATCCGGCCCCCCAGAATGTGGCCTGGGAATGGAGTTCTGGGAAGGCGAAGAGCACGAAGTGTGTGACTGTTAGTGAAAAACGAGCCCGGCTCACTGCCGCCCGGCAACTCCCAACACCTGCCCGGACCCCCCTGTGGAGTGATCTGCTGCTCTCTTTTGATCCCACTAGAAACCTATCAGTCTTCGCTGTTAGGTAAAAAGGTCCGAAAATCGTCCCCAGACTATTCTTGACTATTTTCGGATATCCCCCCTGTAGAGGGACAGGCTCGACTTACGCGCAGAAGCAGGTGGCGGCACATGCTGCAGACGGCACTCGGGTCCTGCCAGATGGACTAGCTGCCGAGATGCTTCGCTGCGCCTTCGGGCCAGCCGGGTCCCAAGCCGCCGAGGAAATCCCCGACCTGACTCCACAGGCCCAGGGGCAGGTGGTGCCTCCGGCACAGCTGCGAGAGGCCCCCGAGGAGGCGGCTCCGCATCGCGACGAAAAGCCTGGGCCTGCCGTCCTCGCACAGGGCCTCGAGCAAGGCCTGCCGCAAGGCCTGGGGGGGTCACGGAATCGGGGGGGGGAGGATCACTGGGGGGGAGGAAGGAAGGCGCACTGCTCGTCAAGGGGCCCAAGGACACACAAACAAATCCACATAAACAAAAGGACTCCTCACAATTCCCCATATTTTCTGGGCTTCTGTCTTCCTCCCCAATGCCCATATTTTCCCATCTTTTCCTGGGAATCGACGATTAATTTTAAGTCGGGCCTGTCCCCCTACAGGGGGATTTCCGACGAAAAATAAAAAAAATACCCTCAAAATAGTCAAACAATAGTCCCCAAATAGTCTGGGGACTATTTTTTAAACATTGTTTGACCTTTTTGGGGCATTTTTAGGGTATTTTTCATTTTTCGTCGAAAATCCCCCTGTCGGGGGGGGCACGCCCGACTTAAGATGAATTGTGTCTGTGTTTTTTCCCTCCTGATGTTCGGGCCCTCGAAGCTCCCTCTGGGGTCCTCGAGGGCCCGCCCCGTCAGGGGCTCCCCCCCGCCTCCCGGATGTCTCCATCTCCTCCTCCTCCTCCTCCTCCTCCTCCTCCTCCCTCCTCCTTCTCTCCCTCCTCCTCCTCCTCCTGCTCCTCCTCCTCCTCCTCCTCCTGCTCCTCCTCCCCCTCCCCCCCTTCTCCTCCTCCTCCTCCTCCTCCTCCTCCTCCTCCTCCTCCTCCTCCTCCTCCTCCTCCTCCTCCTCCTCCTCCTCCTCCTCCTCCTCCTCCTCCTCCTCCTCCTCCTCCTCCTCCTCCTGCTCCTCTCTTCTCCTGGGAGTCAACGATCAATATCAAGGGGCCCAGGGACACACAAATAAATACACACAAACAACAGGATTCCCCATATTTTCCCATACTTTCTGGGTTTGTCTCCCCCCCCGCTTCCCATATTTCCCCACATTTTCCTGGGAGTCGACGATTCATTATGTCTGTGTGTTTCTTTCCCTCCTGATAATAATTGCGCCTGTGTTCTTTTCCCCCTCCTGAATTGACCGCTGTCCCGTTACGCGGCGCCCAAAGGCCTCCCGCGCGCGGCTGCCTGGCAGCGGCAGCTCGGTGGCCGGGTCGCGCGCGACTCGGAAGCACTCGGGCCCTATGGCTCCCTCGTGCCCGGCGAGCATATCGGCGGCGAGCCCGGGGGGCAGGAGAGCCACACATCGCACCGATGTGGGACCGGCAATCGAAATGCATCGGACCGGCGGAAATCGGCAGCCGAGTCGAGAGAAGTCGACGCGGCAGACATCGGCAGGCTACCAGGCCTCCGTTGGGAATTCGGAGCTCGGATCGGAATCCCAAGTCGTATCGAGTCGCAATCGGAAGCCATCGATGTCGAATCGAATCGAAACGAATCGGAGAAATCGAAACGAACCCTTCGGGGAGAGAAGGGGCGGGCCTTCTCAGAAGGCTCGGAAGTCACCAGGCCTTCTGAGAAGTCTTCCCAGCCTTCCCGAAGGCTCAGAACACCTTTCGAAATCGCGAGGGCTTCTGAGCAGTCCCGCCGCCTTCTGAGAAAGCCTTCTTAGAGGCCTCCTACATGGGGTCGGAGTAGATGGGGTCGGAGGATCGCGCCGCATCGCCGATGCATCGCCGACGCATCGGCGATCCGTCGGCGATGCATCGGCGATGCATCGTCGACGTGGGCGATGCGATGCATCGGCGACGTCGACGTGAAGCAAATCGGGCCCCACATCGAGCAGCACCGGCGATGCACCGGCGATGCGGCGCGATCCTCCGACACCACCTGCTCCGACCCCATCCAGGAGGCCTGCACTCCCCCCCTCGCTCGCCGCCGAGCATGGGGCCCCAGGTCGCGGGAGCCGTCCAGGCCGCCTCCAGGAGCGGGGCGTAGCTCCCGAGCAGGTCCACCCGGAGCGCCACGCCGTGCGAGCCCCGGACCCGCAGGGCCTGGCAGCACGGCAGCGGCCGGTTCAGCGGCCGGGGCGAGAGCCCGCCCTGCTGACTACCTACCAAACCACCCCAACCCAACCCGAAGACCCGAATTTCGGGTTGGGGGGCGTAAGGGTTCTATCTGCCATCTGTGTTTCTTTCATGTTTCCCGACCCCCCCCCCCACTGGAAATGGAGGGCAAATTGAAGCCTTCGGGTTGGGTTGGGGTGGTTTGGTGGGTGGTGACCTGCAGGAGCTGCTCGATCCGCAAGTTTGCGCCCGTCGAGGCGGTGGAGGCAAAGCTGGGCAGCTCCCGCAGGCCGAGGTTGCGGGTCCCAAGAATATGCACCACCACCACGTCGATTCCTCCATCTTCCTCCACCCTCATCTTCCTCTCCTCCTTCCTGGGGGAGGGAGGGGATGAAGGAGGTGGTGGTGGTGTATACCTTTAGGCCCCGCAGAGGTCCTCCCAGCGGCAGGTGCCGTCGCTGGGCTTCCGGACGACGTACTTGTACTCGAGGCAGGCCGACAGCTTTCCAGGCTCGCCCTCAAGGCGCAGGGGCTGCCGCAGAGTCCAGCGCGGGAACGACTCTGGGCTGGTCACGAGAGGGACTGCGTGCTCTGGACACCAACTGCCCAAAATCGGAACGTTCCCGACAACTGCGACCTCTTCCCCGAACACGGTCGAATCGCACACGCATTCCAACCACAAGTCTACTGGCATAGCGTACCAGGGTCGGCGAACAAACTGCTGCCAACCAAATGAACCAAATGGCCTGCGGAACAAACATGCCCATCTTCTGGAACCAATGCCCTCGCCTCCTCCATAAACAAACGATGCAAACACTGACTGGGCCACCAAGGGGTCAAACATCATATTAAGGATCCGCCGCGCTAATATGATGCGACACTCCTTGGCCTGATGATGATGATGATGATGATGATGATGATGATGATGATGATGATGATGACACTGGCGCTGATGATGCTATTGATAACGATGACGATGATCATGGTGATGGTGATGATGTTGCTACCTTGTCCTCGTCGTCGTCGTCGTCGTCTTCATAGCCGTCGCCGTCGTTGTCTTCATCGCCGTCGCCGTCGTTGTCTTCGTCTCCGCCGCCATCGCCGCTGCCACCGTCGTCGTCGTCGTCGTCGTCGTCAACCTCCTGTTCCTCCTGTTCCTCTTCCTCCGCCTCCTCCTGCTCCTCTGAGCTCCCACTCCTGCTCCTGCTAGAAAAATAAAAAGGACCAGGAATAAAATAAACAGGACCACGGAAGAAGTAAACAGAACCAGGAGAAAACTAAACAGGACAACAAGGGAAACTAAACAGGACAACCCTAAAACGTAAACAAGACAACGGAAAAGGTAAACAGGACCAGGAGAACACTAAATAGGACCACAAGAAAACAAAACAGGACCACGGGAAAACTAAAGAGGACCATGATAAAACTAAACAAGACCAGGAAAAAGTAAACAGGACCACGCAAAAAGTAAACAGGACTAGGAAACAACTAAACAGGACCAGAGCACAACTAAACAGGACCACAGGAAAAAGTAATCAGGACCAGAAGAAAACTAAACAGGACCAGGACCAAACTAAACAGGACCACAGGAAAACTAGCAGGACCATCCGAAAACTAAACAAGACCAAGAGAAAACTAAACAGGACCAGGAGAAAAATCAGCAGGACCACGCAAAAAGTGAACAAGACCACAGGAAAACTAAACAGGACCACCGGTCAACTAAACAGGACCACCCCAAAACGTAAACAGGAGCACGGAAAAGGCACACAGGACCAGGAGACAACTAAACAGGACCACAGGACAACTAAACAGGACCACAGGAAAACCAAAGAGAACCAGGACAAAACTAAACAGGACCTGGAGAAAAGCAAACAGGACGACGCAAAAAGTAAACAGGACCAAAGGAAAACTAAACAGGACAAGTGGGAAACTAAACAAGACCGCGCAAAAAGCAAACAAGACCGCGCAAAAAGCAAGCAGGACCACAGGAAAACTAAACAGGACCACCCGACAACTAAACAGGACCACCCGAACAATAAACAGGACCGAGAAGAAACTAAACAGGACTAAGACAAAACTGAACAGGACCACAAGAGAACTAAACAGGACCACCCAAACAAAAAAAACAGGACCACGGAAAAAGGCACACAGGACCAAAGGAAAACTAAACAGGACCACAGGACAACTAAACAGGACCACAGGAAAACGAAAGAGAACCATGAGAAAACTAAACAGGACAAGGAGAAAAGTAAACAGGACCACAGGAACACTAAACAGGACCATCCGAACAACTAAGCAAGACCGGGAGAAAACTAAATAGGACCACAGGACACAACTAAACAGGACAACAGGAAAACTAAACAGGACCAGGAGAAAACTAAACAGGACCACAGGACAACTTAACAGGACCATCCGAAAAAAAAATCAGTACCAAGAGAAAACTAAACAGGACCACAAGAACACTGAACAGGACCATCCGAAAACAAACTAAGCAAGACCAGGAGGAAATTAAACAGGACCGCAGGACAACTGAACAGGACAACAGGAACTCTAAAGAGGACCAGGAAAAACTAAACAGGACCATGAGAAAACAACACATTACCAAGACAAACCTAAACATGACCAGGGCCAAAACTAAACAGGACCACGGGACAACTAAACAGGACCACAAGAAAACTAAACAGGACCAGGACAAACCTAAACCGGACCAGGAGAACACTAAACAAGACCACAGGAACAATAAACAGGTTCAGGAGAAAACTAAACAGGACCTTGAGAAAACTAAACAGGACCATGGGATAAGTAAACAAGACCAAGGCCCAAAACTAAACAGGACCAGGAGAAAACTAAACAGGACCACAAGAAAACTAAACAGGACCAGGACAAACCTAAACAGGACCAGGAGAATCCGAAACAGGACCAAGAGAAAACTACACAGGACCACAAGAAAACTAAACAGGACCACAGGTCAACTAAACAGGACCACCCCAAAACGTAAACAGGACCACACGAAAACTAAACAGGACCATCCGAAACAACTAAGCAAGACCAGGAGAAAACTAAACAGGACAACAGGAAAACTAAACAGGACCATCCGAAAAACTAAACAGTACCAAGAGAAAACTAAACAGGACCACAGGAAACCTAAACAGGACCATCCGAAACAACTAAGCAAGACCAGGAAAAATCTAAACAGGACCACAGGAAAACTTACCAGGACCAAGAGAAAACTAGACAGGACCAGGACATAACTAAACAGGACCGCAGGAAAACTAAACAGGACCATCCGAAAAACTAAGCAAGACCAGGAGAAAACTAAACAGGACCACAGGACAACTAAACAGGACCAAGAGAACTCTAAAGAGGACCAGGAAACAACTACACAGGACCAAAGGAAAACTAAACAGGACCAGGAGGAAACTAAACAAGACCAGGACAAAACTAAACAGGACCAGGAGAAAACTGAACAGGACCATCCGAAAAACTAAGCAGTACCAGGAGACAACTAAACAGGACCATAGGACAACTACATAGGACTAGGAGAAAAACTAAACAAGACCAAAATCAAACTGTTAAACTAAACAGGACCACGGCAAAAGTAAACAGGACCATAGCAAAAAGTAAACAGGACCACGAGACAACTAAACAGGACCACCCGAAAAACGAAACAGAACCACGGAAAAAGTAAACAGGACCAGAGGAAAAGTAAGCATGACCACATTGCTTTACACCCGCCCACCCATCGGCGCCTGCGGCCAGGTCGCGGGACGAGGTCGCGGGCGGGTCGGGGGGGGTCAACAACAACAACACCACCACCAACACCAACAACAACAATCCGCACTGTAGAACCTCACTTCGGCCACGCGCACAAGGACAGTGCATGACCGTTCGGTCCCCTCGCTCTGATCATTATCCCCACCACCGTCCTCGACCTCGTCTTCATCATCACCATCATCATCGACGTCATCATCATCATCTTCATTATCATCACCATGTTCACCATCATCGTCAACATCGTGAACACCATCTTCAAATTCTTTCCTCGCTTTATCGTCCTGCTCCGCTCCATGAGTGAATCACGGGAATGCAAGATGGGCCAGATACGACGGAGGTGTCACATGTGACACCAGTCGGCGTTGTCTGAGCGGTCGCCGCAGAGAGCCCTGGGACAGGCCAAGAAGACCCACAATCCAACGATGTGTCACATGTGACGGCTGTCTGGGCCTGCTCCAACCGTTGCCGCAGCGAATGCACCTCTCGCCGCTCGAGGTGTCACACGCCAGGCCTCCCGTCTCCCTCGCGTGGTGGCGGTGCGATCGACCACCGAGAATGCTGTGCTGGCACGGTGGCGGGACGTGCCGTAGGCAGCCGGATAACATGTTGAGAGAGAGAGAGAGAGAGAGAGAGAGATCAGCCTGCCCTTGCAGCGCGCCCCTCCTTGGGAGAAAACTCCTCCTTCTTGAAGCGGGTCATCCCGCTGGCGTACAGGATGGCCACAATCCTGTTGCAAAACACGAGGAAGACAGACGTCTTGAACATCTCGCCCTCGAATGTGTCGGTCTTGCCATAGGGGACAGTCCTCCCGGTGCCGAAACCAATGGAGCATTACCAACGATAGCTGGGAAACTACAAGTGGAACCGTGCTCTTAGGGACTCGTGTAGCGTTCGCTCTTGATTCGAAAATGTGTGCCACGGTGGTGTAGGCTCGGAGAGGAGTGTTTTCAATTTCTTCGACTCCTCCATGCTGAACTTTGTAAATCCACAAAATTGCGTGCCTTCAACACGTAACGGAAAACCTCGAGGTTCAGGAATTGTGGGATTCGTACGGGTCCATACCATCAACTTGCTAGGATTCCAAGGCGCTCCTAGCGATTGTCGCATGGGCCTCCGTGAAGCAAAACCCGCCCAAACCAAACTCCAGCACATCCTAGATCAGCCTTCCAAGCAACGCTCAAAAAGGCTCAGGAACTCTCAGTAGCCACTGCGGTCCGTCCTGCGATCCTCTTGGGGGGGGGCTTTCGGGGGTATCTTGGGCAGTCTTGGAGGCCCTTGGTGGCCAGCCCATGAGGCCAACGTGCGCAATTGAACAACAACGTATGTGCGTGCGTATGCTTTTCGCTTTTTGGTTTTCAGATCGTGCAAGACAGCCCCAAAAACACATCGTACACCAGCAACAGACCATCCGAGGCCCAAATGTTCCTTAATTTTGCTGTGCAATTAGCCGTTTGCGCGATAGCGGCCATCCCCCCAGGAAGGGCCCGGACTGCAATTCGGAGCGATTGCTCGGAGACTTGAGCGAACATCATGAGGGGGACGGCAGTGCAGGCTACGCTCGCATGG